ACTTTCCTCTAGTTCTTGAATGCTTCCCCCACCCCCACTATCATGATCCCAATTCTACCTCACAAATCTGGCTAGACCAGAGGATGTACATTGGTGCAGATAGGGACTGGAAACACAGGGAATCCCGGACAGATGAACCCCTCAGGACCAGTGGTGGGAGTGGCGAGATCAGGAGGGTGGAGGGAAGGTTGGGTAGAAAGGGGGAACCAATCACAAAGATCTCCATATAATCCCCTCCCTGGGGGACGGACAATAGGGAAGTGGGTGAAGGGAGACTTCAGACAGTGGAAGACATGACAAAATAATAATTTATAAATTATCAAGGGTTCCTGAGGGAGGGGGGGATGGGAGGAAGGAGATAAAATAAGGAGCTGATACCAAGGGCTCAAGTAGAAAGAAAATGTACAAATGTGCTTGACAATGCATGGATGTATGGATTGTGATAAGAGTTGTAGGAGCCCCCAATAAAATGATTTCTTTTAAAATCACCTAATCAAGCTGCTTTCTTATCACCTATGGCTCACCCGGACACGTGCCCGGCACATGTAAGGGCACAGTAAGTGTTGGGCCACTCGTCCAAACAGTACTACTGCAGATTTTAGAAGTGGGCCGCGTTTATGCAGCCGCCCAGCAGACCTTCCAGAACTTGAGTAACTATGCACGTTGCTCTCCAGATTTGCTGCAGGCGGGAGGCTCAGGCGTGCCTCCCTGCCACTCACCCTCACCTGGAATGTCTCTCCTGTGACTTCCCTGGTGTCTGCAAACAGTTTCTGCTTATACATGTTTTGATCTGCCTACTACTTGCCTAGCAAAGAGACCTGGTGGCACGATGGTTAAGTGCTCAGCTGCTCTGAATGCGCTGGTGGTTTGACACCCACAGCAGTTCCCAAAGAAAAAAAGACCTAGCACCAATAAAGGTGACAGTTTAAGAAACCTGATGGGGACAGTTCTCTGTCTTACAGCGTCAGGATGAGTCAGAATCCGCTCAGCTACACACACTTGTCTAGATGTTTCAGCCAAATTGATTAAAAAACAAAGAACGCGTCCTGTACATTTTGCTCTCCATATGATCTGACAGTCAACATAAGGAATCATGTATCAAAGTATATGACAGATACTTTTGTCGTTCTCCCCACCTTGTCCTCTATGTAACGTTGTAGCTTGTTTTTCTAAGTAGGGGGTGGAGGGGGGTATTTCCTAGATCCACTGGCCAAGGACTGCCTGATTCACGAATCTTTCTGAAGCCAAATCAACTCTTTGATTTTAACTGGGTCAGAATTTTCTTTCAACAAGCCTGAACCATCCCTTTGGCCCCTCTCTATGCCTTGAGCATCAAGAACTCACTCCTCCATTTAAAGGTTTGCTGTTCACGCGTACACACCAAACAGGTCAACAACCGCAGAGAAGCTCTCTGGGGGCTTGGCGTCCACCTGGAAATGTGCTTTTCCAAGAGGGAAGGGCTTTTGTGGCAGCTTAGTTAACAAACACATGAATCGGGGAGGGAGTCCAACACAAAATGCCAGCATCACACATTTCCTCCACTCTACACTCCGCTTATAAAAAGAAACTACAAAAAAAGAGTAAAAAGACGTGGTAGGGAACAAACAATGGCATAATTTCTTCTTCAAAGGACGTCACAACAGTTGTTCACATGGACTCCTGGGTGAAGTTCATTGTTATAATTTCCATTATGCTACAGGAAATTCTGCCCTTGGGGACTGCGGGCAGCTTGCTGTGTGATTATGTTATGGCAATAGCAGCGTTGGGTCAAAGAGCCAAACAGCGTGTTCTCTGGACCAACTTTCTTGTCCATAAATAGTGCAACAATAGGCTATTTCGCCATTTTCAGGCCTCAATGCGCTTTACCCAGAAGGTAGTTGTCAGCACCCTCACAGCTAAGCAAGGAGTGGGCCCTAAGTGTCATTTTCAGCTGTTGTATCTAGGTGTATCCCCCCCCCCTCCCCCCTGGAAGAAAATCAAAGTTTCTTGCTTTATCTGTTTCTGCCTTGATATTCTTTGTTAGTGTTGGTGGTATGCTGGCTCTTAAACTCCGTCTTAGGACCTGTGATAGTAAGCGGTTCTTCATTCAGCAGTTCCATATGGAGAGCTCCTAGGTCCCCAGCTGTACACCCCTGGCTCTTTGAGGAGCTGGCCTGGCAGCTTTAGGAGTTATGTCTGGAGCTGTGTGGCTAAGACCAAAGTGAAGCACCTGCCTGCTAATAGAAAAGCTGGCAGTTCAAACCCCCCCAGTGGCTCCATGAGGGAAAGAGCTGGTCACCTGCTTCTATGACGATCTCAGCCCAGAAAGGGCTAAGGGACAGTTCTCCTGTGTCACCCTGAGCTGGACTGACTCAACAGCACCCAACATCAGCAGCAGAATAGATGTGTGCCTGCTTTATGGAACATTTTCCTTTTTGAAATGCATAGATTCAGATCTGCCGACTGCCTGTTGTTCGCTGCGTCGAGTGGGTCCTGTCACAGCGACCCTACATGTCTAAGAATGACGGCCTGTCGGACCTGAGCTCTCGCCCACCGTCGCAGCCACTGCATCCGTCCATCTGGTCTCGGGACTTCCTCCTTTTCACTGCCCTCTAGTTGGCCAAGCAGGATGGCTTTTTCAGCTCCTGGTCTCTGCTGATCATGTGCCCAGAGCTGCCCACAAACCTGTCATTTAAAGGGCTGTCTTCTAAAGAATAGGAACCCTTTATCTGGAGTGGACTGTGTATGAAATAGAGTGGGGGGGCGCTTCAAAAAGGTCAAGGAAAATGACTGAAAAATGGATTTTTCCCATGAACTCTCTGAAGCCCCTTTATATAAGTGCAAAAAAAAAAAGGGGGGGGTAAATTCTTTGGTGTTTTCATTCGAAATTTAACTCCCCTCCTGTTTCTATGACAAACTATTTTCCTGAACCATAAAACCCTCCCATAAAAAGCCATTCTTGGTCTTGCGTTGCCTCTTGGGAACATCTTAACCAGCGGGAAACCCAAAGACAAGCTTGTATGTCTACCATCCAGCTGTGCGCTTGGTGACTGAGCGGTCAGTGTTGGGTAGGATTCACACCAAGGTCAGGAGAAAAAGCAAAAGAAAATAGACTCTCAACCCCGCGCCAGTGACTCTCAACAAGAGGAGATGAGCAGTAGGTAGTGTCAGGGCCGCGACTGCTTTTGTAAAGGCTTTTCTCCAGCCGGCGTCCGGCCCCTTCCACTGCAGCGGCGTCTCACCGCTCAGCTAGTGTGCGTGCCCCTCCACATCCCGCCACGCGGCAACAGGCCCTGAAAGGGCTGCTGTGCCTTTGTTTGCTTCTAGCTTGGAAGACTGTAATGACGAACGTGTGCCTTGTATGTGTTTCATGCTACGTAAGTGAAATGTTCTTAATTTCATTTTAGGTAGTTCATTGCTAGTGTATAGAAACTGACTGGAGTTAAAAAACAACACACACACATGCGCACAAAGTCTCTGTTTTGGCTTACATTTGCAAACGGCAGATTCACAGTGGGGCTGGACGGAGAAGGTAGGCCGGTTCCGAACCTGGAGTTCTGTGCTGAGGTCATGGAGAGTGTCTCCCCAGTTATCCATCGGCTCAAAGACCTGGGCTGAAGGGAGCTCTGGGCTGACCCAGGGAGGCATTTCTCCTGGTCTGGAGGGCTCCACCCAGTCTTAAATAACGACGCTGCAGAAGAGTCAGACTTCACAGAATCCTTGAATGAGACCCCTCTTTATCCGTGGTCCTTTCTGTTCAGATAGTGTGACATCCTCTTTTTGGTAGCTCTTGCAGGTAAAGGGCTGTGGGTGGCCAAGCCAGCACAGGACCCACAACACTCCTGTACTTCCGAAGTGTGTATGGCCTAGGTCAGGCAAAGACTTTCTCCCTCCGGTGGACATCAGAATTACCTGCGTACCTTTATAAGCACTTAGGTTCTTGGACCCCAGGCCCTACCTCCAAAGGCAGGGTTCCAGGTTCGTGTGTCGTGACAAAGCTCATTCTCACATGTGCCAGGGAGGAGGATGGGTGTCATGTACTTGTCAGGAGCCCTCACAGTGAACTCTGTATGGCGGGAGATGCTCGATCGAGGGTGCATTTCCTAAAGTCATCATCTGAAAATATCATCCTGGGGGAGGATGGCCAGCCAACCAAAAATTCACTGCCATCAAGCCAATTCTGATTCATAACAACACTTTGAAAACCCCTTTGGGGTGTCTGAGGCTATAAATCTTTAGGGTTATAAAAAGTATCTTTCTCCCTCGAAGTGGCTGGTGGTTTCAAACTGCTGACCTTGAGGCTATATGACCAACTCATAACCCACTATGTTACCAGGAAGCGGCAAGAGATACCCGCAAAGCGTCAGTGCCCTTCGTAACTGAAGGAAGGATTTCTCACGGACTCCTGCTTTTCGCACCGTGCTTCTCTTCCGTGCTAGAGCCAGATGCCCTTTTTTGGCATATCCTCTTCTAGCTTTTGTGCTGATCATCTCTCGTCTTGAAGGCAGATATGTTCTAGACAAACAAGACCATTCTGAGAATATTTATCATTAACAGCTCCTGATTAAAAAAACAACAACACACGCCCGATTTTAATTCTTTACTGATGTTTATTCCACCTTTAAGCTTTAGCTTATGAAAGCAGGGTCATGATTCCTTTCCCAAGTGACAGGATCCGGTCTCTCAAAGCCGCAAAGAGAAGTGCAACATGTCGCTCGCTAGGGGTCTCATGACGTGGCTTCAGCAGTGTTTCTCTGCAGTGGGGCCAGGATGACCCCAGCATTCCTGTCTTCACTCTCGGCGCTGTAGAGACTATGCTGTTCGATGTATTCTTGGACAAGATCTGGCACCAGGTAGCGAATGCTCTGGCCCCTGCGCAGGGCGCGTCGGATCTTGGTGGACGAGATGTCATTAGTGACCCACTCGTTCACCAGGTGGATGTTGGCCCGGTGTTGCCACAGCACATCTGACTCGTAGATGAATTTCTGAGCATCGTTTCCAGCCCGAGTAATACAGACAAGCCCATAGCCTCCCACGATCTGGGCGACGTCCTCACTCTTCCACAGATTGGGGACACCGAAGGACTCCAGCAAGTCTGCTCCACACAGCAACTTCACCGCAGGCATCCCTGGGGAAAGAAGGCAGGGCGTCAGGGTCCACTTGTCTTGGTGCACCCTGCCTCAGAATGGGCGCGCGTCTCTATTTCTCGCTGGGAAGAGGGGCCACAATCTTCATTAGAATCAGACCCCCAAAGGAGATTGAGGAGACTTCAAAAGTTACGGAGAAACCACTGAAGCCATGGATGCTAAAGTAATGTGTGGTGAAGAAATCAGACGGTGCCTAGCTATGAGAATGAATAGTGTCCGGGATCTTAAAATAAGCAGCCATCTGAGAGAGGTGTCAGCTAAGTCCACATGGAAGAAGCATACCAGCTTCCTCCTTGTGATCCAAGGACTGTAAATAATGAAATCCAAGACTGGAGGAAGGGACAGTATTAGAGCTTACACTCTGAGCACCTGGTTTGCAGGCTATGGATGACAGTGAAGGTCCAAAACCCATTTGCAGAGTCCCCACACAGATTAAGCCTCCCTTGACGCCCTTCTGACAAATGACCAAGGTCGTGAATAGCCTTGCTATCACACAGTGTGAATTAGAAAGTGGATTAATGCAGGTGTGGTTATGGTAAAATTTAAGATTCTCTACTTGACTCATTTTAAATGTACTCCAGTTTGTATTATTTTCTGTTTTCTTTTATATTGAGTTTTTGTGTTTCATTGGTTTATTGTTGGGGATTTGTGTGTTGCTGAAGTCTGGTTTTCTTTATAGAAATTCAGGATAAGCAATGATCAACTGTATAAAATATCTTTAAAAAGCAAAATAATAATATTTCATAATATTAGATAAATTAAAATACTGTACGCCACTATAGTATAGTATTAAAATATTAAATCTTCCAACCTAGACCTTAATATAGAACCCCACACTCAATCCTTTGTAGTGGCGTGCACTCCAACGCATGGTCAATCAGTCCATGGCAGCGTTCAGGTGTGTCAGAACGCACACTCCATAGCGTGTTCAGAGACGACAGTCTTATGGGAAAGGCACCCTGATGGGCGGGGGTGAAAGCACTCAGCTGCTGACAGACAGGTCGGCTGTTTGGACCCGCCCCGTCGCTCTCTGGGACAAAGAAGTGGCAGTCTGTTTCAACAGAGGTTCACCACCTTGGAAGTCCTGTGGGCAGTTCTACTCAAACAGGGTTATGAATCAGTCACAGAAATAGACAGCAGGCTTTCTGCCACTGAGTGGATTAACACCACGAACTTCTCTGTAACAGCTAAACATACACAGTTTGTGTCACACAGGAACCTGGACTTGATATACCTATCTTTATGTGTCAGATAAAGGACCTCACAACTTATTTTGTAATTTCCCTTTCCTATGTTATGTGTCGTTAAGTAAAAAAATATTCCTCTGTGTTTACATAAAAAAAAATTTAAAAAAAGAAACTGAGGATAAGCAAATCTACAGAGCCAGTAACTGGGTTAATAGTTTCTTAGGGTTATGGCAGAGGAGGTTGGAGAGTAATGGGGAACTCATCGTGAGCACAAGAATGAAGACAATGTTTTAAAATTGATGGTGGTGATAATTGACAACTATTTTTAAATATCTTTTTGAGCTATTTAAACCAGTGAATGGTATAGGATGTGAATTATATGTCAATAAAACTTAATACAATAGGAAAAAATACCAAAAAAGGTTTAGAAGTACTGCAGAAGAAATGTGTTCGGCGCAATTTCTGTGCACCCTTTCTTCATAAGACTGTCAAGGGGCTTTCCGAGGGGTCTAGCTGTATTAACGACAGTGCTGGCTGCTGCTGCTGCTGGACGCTGTAGGGGTTCTGAGGCATCTTCGTGGGTTAGCACAGAACTGCTCTGTAAGGTCCCCTGGCTGTGGTTGTCAGGGAGGCAAATTGCCAGGCTCTTGTCTGGTAGAGGTGCCCTGGCATCCTATAAACACGAGTCAAACATACAAACCTTTCGTTTTCGGCTCTAGGGATCTCTTTTGACTAAAATCTTGCCTTTGCTCAGTCCACTTCCTCTTTTGTCCAGGCCTTTCCAGAATAGGCGAGTCCTGTTGGTTATCCCAGTTCCTCGCCTCCAGTTTCTCTTGATGATGTCTGTAAAACAGTAAGAATGGCCTGGTAGGATGTGACCAAGGGCAATGTAACCGAGAGGAATTACTGAAACCCAATGAAGGCTGAGCATGATAGTGGGACAGGAGGAAAGTACAAGGAAATAGAGGAAAGAGCTAGGAGGCAAAGGGCATTTATAGAGGTCTAAATAAAGGCATGTACATATGTAAATATATTTA